TGTATCACGTAACGCTAAATAATATCTAAACACACCTAATAATTACTACGGACTGACAAAAGGTTCATAATAATAAGCCCTTCATAGATAGGCTTAACATTATTCCAGTTCATGATATATCTTACCTTCTCAACATTTAACGTAAGGATTTGGCTGAAAAATAGGCATATGCTAATGTAGAAGAGAATATACCTCAACATTCTTGATCTGAAAATCAACATATAAAAGTGTCAAACAAATGACACTACCTCACGACTTGCTGTTAGACTTGAATGAATATTTCTTGTTTATTCAAAGACAGGTCACCGGGTTTAGGTTTAAAATTGTTACTACACTTTTTCATGCCATGACGAAGTAGATGTAAAGCCTATTTAGCCAAATCCCGAAATGAAATCCGATTTAAATGTTTTAGAACAAATGCAGAATAAGACGGGTAGTGAGAGGTAGGGAGCCATGTACAAATCATTTGAACTTCGGCGTTGCACGCTCAGAGTGAACATTCTGAAAAACAATGTTGAACAGTCGAAGATAACAATTCACGCAAATTATTCACTTGTTCATGAATATTGACGAACAATTACACAAACAATAATAACGTTGTTACACTATTTACTCGCAGACATACATAGTTACTTGGCTTTATCATATCTTTTTTTTTATTTTCATAAAATTCACAAAATAAAAGTAAGTAATAAAACAAAACAATATCTGGTGTTGTATTCGTGGATATGGAGTTGCATAATCTGAATAATATTTGCACGTAACTTCCCTAGAATTTACAATATTTTGTTTTTGTTTGGAAAGATTGTGAAATATAAACTGAAATAATAAATTTCAGATAATAAATAAATAGAGAAAGCGCTTACTACATACTAATATTCATAGTAGTAGTAGGTGCCTAAAATTACCTTTACATAGATGTTTGCAAATAATAATTGCTAATTACAAACAAAAGCTTACAACTGATTTTTAACCCGTGTCGAAAACGTGCACAGAATGCATTGCTTATCAGTCACCTCGAGTGCCAAATCCATAGGATTAACAACCAATGTCAATAGATTAGCTAAGGTGTTTAAAATGTACTAGAAAACCAAATTATGCCTAGGTATGTGTCTAACGCAAGCTTTTTGGTTCATTTTGTTTTCCTTTTTGGACGCAGCTGCTCTCAAAACATATTATTGCATATAAGAACGAAAAAAATCCGTCGCGATTTCACGTTTTCTCGTAAACGAGCGGTGGCCGTCCTCTCTCTGGACTCCCTCTTCGCGTGTACTAGCAACTCTTTCTATCATGTCTTCACTTGTCAAGCTATAAACGGGCTACGGTACTCGTATCTCCCGCTTTTATTGCTTTTTTAAATTGACTAATTATCGCTTAATTCTCGACCACGCGGTCTTTTACGACAGGGGCAACCGCATTTTTATTTATTTCATTTCTCCCTCGCCTATTTAAAACAGCGACCGCAAACGACTGGTCGAATATGATGTTTTAATAGTGAAGTTGGAGGATATAACGAGCATTACCTATTATTAAATTCCGAACGACACTTCCAATCCATGATATAGAATCAACAGGTCGCGTGTCAAGTAGAACACGTTGGTATCTACAGATTCATTATTCAACAGTCTCTGCTATGATATTTGGAGTGAGAAGTTGACTGTATTGTGTATTTTAGACCATGTGACCATGTGAGCTTGGCCCATTCCTTTCATATTAATGGAAATTTGTACAGTTTCGTGTATAAGTTACGAGCAGCCATGTAATTTCGAATATGTTAACATTGTACATTTACCGTAGCCAAAGCATCTCATCGGTAATCTGTGTTTTGATGATAAGCAATATGTTATTATATTCTTTTTTGGTACAACTAAAGTTCATGTTCATTTATGCCACTGACATATGTAGATGTTATTATTTTGCTTGAAGGTGTTGTGAAATTCTTTTGGTGATAAATTGTTTTGATCATGCCACTGCAGTCTGTAGTTGATACGTATACATAGAGCGTTCTACCAACTTTATGCTTTCCTTGTGAATTTTATATGCTTATGTTCGGATATTTATTTTTGTATTTTTTTGAATCACTCAAATACTATGAAGTAATTGTCCTTTGTGTACTTGTTCAGGTAATTATATGTATGCATAACTATTGTAAATATGCATTAAAGACAATATATCCCTAAAGTTGATTGCGTGAAAAGAACCCACATTCTTGTTCAACGTGCTGATGGAGCGGGGCTCTCTTTCATTTGAATTCAAGGCTGCTCTCTCGTTTCAACAATGATTATCGAAATAGTTACAAGATAAAGGCAATGCTAACTCATTAGAGAGGGGAAAAGAAGAAAATATTGATGTTTTTTCCCAAAAAATAACAATGCCAAAGCCAAGAATTCAAAATGCAAGCGAGTGGGTGATATTTCCAGGTTTGTACGGTTGAAAATAAATCGGAAATTGTCCGGTCGAATTCAACAAGCGGTTGGAAAAGCGAGCGATAGGTAAGGTGAAATCAATACTGAACATTCGGTTGTAATAAACAGACCCTTTGTGGAAATACGACTTGCCAAGCGCTTTTATCTAAGACGACATTTTAAAATCGGAAAAAGCAAAACAACAACAACAATTTGTTATGTGAAATCGTTATTATTCATTCAGTTCCAATCAGTAATATTATATCATTGACCGAACGTTACAGCCGGGCGACTTTTTTCTCCCAAGTCAATATATTCGGTTTATTTAAGAATGTTTTAATTTGCCTCAGAAAACAAAGGATGACTTTTCAACACCGATCTTCAGTCGAGCGAGTAGCGTTAGGCGCTGATACTGCCTGTAGGAGGAGGTGTGAAGCATTCGCTGGTTCCCATCGCTCCTTGCAAATGGCAAGTAGAACGCTTGTAACTAGTAATCGCCATATTTTCCAGCTTGGCCAGGATTCCGGTCCAAAGGCACGTGACTACATCGCGTAATTTGAATACATTCTATGTCCTTCAAAAACGTGTCTGTAATACTGCAATAAAGACATGCCTATTCATTCTGCCTGTTGGA